ATCTTCTTTTCTGTTTATTCCAAGTCTGAAAAATAATGGACTTTTCGGGAGTTCCAAGAACTAATAACTTTGCTTAGGCATTTGCGCTGTAGATGACATTGTTCCTACATTTCAGTTGTGTCCGCCTTGACGGATTTTCGTCAATATAGTTTGCAGATCAAAGAATAAACACAATCACCTAAAACACGAGTTTTTCATAAGCTTTTGAAACAACTTTTTTTCATTTCTAAAAATGATCTTCTGCTTAAGATAAGTACAGATACACACACACACACGCAGCCCCCAATTTCAATAACCGTTCCCTTTCCTTTGTTTTGAATATTTGTTTGATTGTCCAATTTACACATCATTTAAAAGAAATAAGAGAAAGAAAAAAAAAAAACTGGTTCTGACGTAAGTCCAGATGTATTTTTAAAGTTGTTAGTTAAAGTTTAAATATTTTAGAAATATTTCTCCCCATCATTGACCGGTAGGTAGATTAAGCTGAACGATCTGTTGATGTCTCCTTATAAAACTATCCATCGCCATAAAATGCATTCAGTCTAAAAAATATTAAGCTTTCACGAAACTAAACTTCATTTGTTTATCTAATTCGCTGAAATCATTTTTATGCTTATAGAAGAAAACATTTCAAACTATTTCTACGATTAATATCTTCATACTTTTGTATATATGTCCATCTGTCTTTCTTGTTTTCTTGTTTTCAACGTACGGGCCGCAGTTATTGAGATATTTTGATAAAATCAGGTCCAATGATAAGTTTTGGCTGAAGATTGGACGCTGCTGCAAATGGTTCAGATCGAACCACGTTTTCGATAACTTCTCTCCTTATTTTAAAAAATCGCCATATGAACAGCTGTAGAGGGTGGTGTAGGGTATTTACTAATGGCCTATTGCCCACTATACCGTTTCTGTTTGCTCTAAAGATAAGATTACGAGTTGATTTATCTGTACACTCGTATTAGAATGTCTATCGGTCTTTCGAAAATAGGTCATTTAAAATATATTTCTACATCTTCGTAGCTTAAATGTGAAAATTATCGAATGGCGTACTGAGCGAAATTTTTTATTTGCCTTCATTTACAATTTTTACTAATTGAGAAAAAGAGAGAAGAAACTCTATAACCCTTTTTTTTTTTCTATGACCACCCATTCAGACGCTGTCTCCCTTGCACGCGAGCTCGGTGATGATCAGGAAGAGTTATAAAAAGAGGGTGGAGAAGTGTTTGTGAACGTTCGCCTTGAAAATAGAGATACCAAGTATAGTAGGAAAGGCAGCCGGTTAATGTGTTGTTGAATTTCTCTTTTCGAATCACTCCATTATGACAATGTCACGAAATCGTGAAAATATTCACGACGGCTCGAGCCTTACTTTAATTTCGATCACTTTAATATTGCCTTTTCGGATTAGAACAAGTCAGAATTATTTGCAGAGGGTATATCTTCGCCTTATATCTTCAAGGTTATTCCACTAAACCCAACCTTCCCACACGAAAGATAATTTGAAAGCTTTCGATGCCATATCCACTACAATGGCCTTAAAATCAAGCAAAAATATTGTAACTACCTGCCTCCTTTCATCAACCTTCCTTCATTCACCATAGGGAAAGGAATTGGCCTCGACTGGTGTCGTGGAAGGGAGAGAAAGCAATTGAGAAAAATTTATTTTTCACATCCACTTTTCACTGTGGCCAGATTTGGTGGCGGATCATATCTTTTTTCCCACTCCCTGGCTATAAACTAAAGACGTATATGCCAGGTTTCTACGAAGTTACTAAAAATATGTGGGCCGATCTGAAACATTTAAGCACTGACCCTAAGAAATGTTTTGAACAAGTTTAAAACCTACTACGTACTATGGCCAGATTTGGTGGCGGATCATATCTTTTTTTCCACTCCCTGGCTGTAAACTAAAGACGTATATGCCAGATTTCAGCTTTTTATCTTAATTATGCCCACCGCTAACTTTCCACCTACGAAAATACCACATTGCGGGGAGTAAGAAATGTGATTTAGTCGATTCGGGGCCTTATGCTGACTTGTAAGACTCTGTGCGAACGCTTATCTCAAAATCGGAAGGTCAAAACTGTGAAGGCTTTCAACGAATAAATCATTCTCAGCTATCTATATGATTTTAGATATAAACTATTTTTATAAGTCATCTATAAATTCTGGTGAATTTGTAGGGAATAGTTTGGAGGATTGCGCGTACTATTTGCTTTATCGACATTACCTACGACGACACACAACAGGCAAAGTCAACGCAAATGTTTTCGAAATCTAGACATGTTTAAAAGTTTAGCGTGCAAATATTATCCTTCGGCTCATTGGTCCACGCCGTAATTTATAAAAAGCAATGAAGAAGAAATGATTATTAGAAATGTCTTATGCCGAAAAAGAAAACTAAGAAATAAGAGGTTTTTTCCCTTTAGGAGAGATATCCTGAGTAGTTGATTGACCATATCATTACATACCCTACACTACTTCCTTTCAAACGTTTGATTATTCATGCAACGGCTTTGCAAAATAAGACGTTATATGGGCAATTGTGAAAAAGTGCTCGGATGTAAACAATTTTCAATAGCGTTCGCCTTTGGGCCATAACAGGCCCGTGTACCAAATTTCATCAAAATATCTCAAAAGTTGTGTCCTGTAGGTGAAGTAGAATGAATGAAGACAGACCGACGGACGGACCGACTAGCCTTGATCGCTGTGGAAAGTACTTCTGAATCGATCAGTGTAAAAAAAGTTAGGTGTATCTCATTTCCCTGCGGACGTTGCATGTACTCGCACAAATTTAACATACCTTTGTACCAGAAGTACTGTCGTGCATAAAAGTAGAGTTCTTTTTATAAACAAATTTGTCAAGTCATACTAACGGGTCAATGGGTCAAGCGAATTTGAATTAAGTTTTAACGCTTTCTAAGGGAATTGTTGTTCCTTCTCTTTAGATTTGAGTAAAAGTTTCTAAATTAGCTCAGTAAAAGTGTTTTTTTTTTTTCTTTTAGCTAAGCCACTAAGAGAGAAAAACAAAAATCTCCTTTTCTTGTAAGATTTTGTTTTGATGACCATCGCCATATGTGACAGTGTACAGTCGTATAAAATGATTAAGGATTTTCCCCTAAAAATTTCATTCAAATTTATTCAATTTCTATCTTTGTTAATATTATTCATTATTATATTAAATAATTTGCAAACTTTTGAATAATTTTTAAAAACCATTGTCAATAAATAAGAAAAGCAAAAAAAAAGAAGAAAAAAAAATAAAACAAACAATGGCAAGAGGAACTATTTTTCCCTCATTCTTATTGACGCGATTCATGTATTTTATGGTCAAGCATTTATTGGTCTCAACCGAATGGGAAAAACAATTGCACATAATATTTTTTTATTTAAAATTTTTTTTGCATTTTTTTTTTTTGTTTCTCTTTGTTTAGCTAGAGGTATTGTCGGCGTTGTAGTAGTTGTTGTATTAAGTTCCAGATGACACAATTGCAATAGTTGTATAAACGGTATACTCGCATCAATCAGTCAATCGAATGAAATAAATTTGAACACAACTATCCATGAATCAACCAACATTAAATGCCAGAGCATTTGAGAACACACAACAGATGTTGTTTTATTATATATATTATTTTCTTACATATACATAAACATAAACGTACATATGTAAGTTATCTTTTATTTTTTTATTTTATATATATATATATATTTTTTTTCTTTTTGTCTTTCTTTAATTTATATCTCCGCAACGTACATTAATAACAATTTCCATACACTGTATTATCCTTGCAGTACCCAATATGCAGTACACGTAGTATGTCGTAGTGGTGATGTAAATGCCGTAAGAGTTATATTTTTCTTCTTTTGTTTTGTTTTTTTTTTTTTTAATATTTTAATAAGAGTTCGTTCTGCTTTTAAATTTTTTTTTTTTTTTTTTTTTATAGTTTAAATATATGAAATTAAATGCTTAGAAATTTTCTAGATTCCTTTTTTTTTTGCTTTTTGTTTTTTTTTTTTTTTTTTGTTACTCTTTTTACCTAAGGGGTATTGAAAGCGTTTTAAAGACCAACGTCCGCGCGCTTCTCGTTTTTTATTAGTTATATTTACTTTGGCCACAAAATTGTGGCTTTTATATGCAATAGCTTTTGTATATTTTGGTGGTTGAAATTTTTTCGTTAACGTTGCTGCCGACGTCGCTTTACACGTTTCGGTAGAGTATCTGTTTTTAGCTTGTTTCCTTTTTTCAACTTCTTCTTAGATACCTTTTGGACGAATCTCGCTTGTTAGTGCCGCTGTAAACGTTGGCGCATTTTATAAAGATTTTTTCAGCCATGCTGTTAATAAGGTCCGGAAACAAGTGTTTTTAACTTTACACAATTCACTCTCTCTCTCTTTCTCTCTCCTTCTCTCGGTCTCTCAATGGAACGCTTACGTTAACCGCTCTGCTCAAATCAAGTGTAAATTACATTGAATTAACATTTCTGCAGCCGGATCTATTCTCAATTCGCTGAGAGATCTCAGAACAAGACAAAAAAATATGCTCTTCCCTTATTTAAATCTACGCTCTATGTTACTCTGATATTCTCCATTTTTCTCTCTCTCTCTTTCTGGAAGCATCCGTTTAATGAGATTTTTGTTGTTCTTTTTTCTGTTTGTTTTTTTTGTTTCTTGTTTTTTTTTTTTTGTTTTTTCTTTTATAAATTAATTAATTTATAAATATATATCAATTATTTTATTTTCCATCCAACATGTATCTATCTCTTATTTATTTCATAATGCAAAAGACATGTTTACGCGCCTATGGAGATCTTTACATTTTCATTGCTTTCAAATGATGATTCAATGTTGTCTGTCTCTCCCAAATTGCGGTAACTAAATGAGAAAATCTGAAATTAACATTTTTGGGATTTTTTTGGATGACGAAATTATTAGTTTTATAGTGTAGAATTTATGCGCGCACACACACACACACACATATATATACATACACACACCTACACGGACATACAAAATCTGTAGTTTTGGTTAGTTAATCATTTCATTTTATTTGATAAACAATGCTTGGCCTCTCAAACTATAAAATGAATAATATGCGGCATTGAAACTGACGGTTAATTACTCTTTTTGTCTCATACGCAGAATATATATACATTTCTGGTAAAGTTCACCTAAGGACGTTATCATTTATATTCGCTTTTTCTAAATAATTTATATGAAAACTTGCATTAATCATTTACACTCACATAGACATTGTTTTCTCTTTAATGAAAATGTTTTTTTTTTTTATTCATCACAAGAGGTTTAATAATTTTGCAAACATTTGAATATACAAACATTTCGCAGAAGTTCTTAACAATTTTGGATTCTTCATAGACAGCACTATGGTGCATGAATAGCATAGGGGTTTTAGTATTACTGGCGCCTACACCTGCTTTATCTTAGTCTCTATCAGGCTTTAGGTTCAGTCGTATTACAATTATATCATCTGCACGCGCGCTTCATAAAACTCTTTATCTTCTTCATAGTATTTGTTGTGGCTTTCTGAAAGTTTTCAAGTTCATCCCGTTGTCTGTCTTTCGGAGATGTATTCTACAATCCTGCTTTGATGGACAAAAGTTACAAGAGTCTGAGAATGAATTACAAGATATCCGTGGGCAAGCAGAGGGTAAATTCTTGATGAAAATTTTCTCCCCGAGCCACTTCCCTTCATGCGAAATGATAAGCTACTCAATTAACTGGGCATGCCGAACACATACATCATTATTCGTCTAATCGTCCTTTCCGCTAGATTTCTTCATTAAATTTCGTCATTATGAATGTATATTTGCCATGATAACGAGTATTTTAAGAAAAATGTTCTCGTTCTGTCAAATCGTTCCTTTACAATCTAATTTCATATTACACACACTCTATGCTTAATGAGTATACACGTATGTATTGCTAAACAGCTCGACACCGTTAAATGGTTAAGCAAGAAAGGAAATCCTTCTAAGGCCGTCAATGGCATTTTTTCAACTATCTCATTGTACTCATACTCATACCGAGGATACTAGTTTTCTTTTGTCCCATTTTTCATTCCACTATTTCCTAATAAATTTTTCTGCAACTTATCCCAATTGTCGGTAACCGTTTTCTTTTCTTCTCTTTTTCGTTGCATTCTTCGGGAATCGTTATTTCTACGGCTGACTGTGTTCACTTGTGTATCAATTGTGTAATTCCTAGAAACGCTGTCACTCCTTCCCTTTTTTTTTTTCCTCCTCTTTCAAGAAGATGGTGGCCGTAGCCTAATGAATGTGCGCCCAATCGATAAGTGTTATGCCTTTACCAACTAAGCACTCGCTGTAACTACGACCAAAGTCAACTCTACGACACTGACATTTGAACCCACAAAACACTGACGTGATAGTTGCACGATTCTTACCTACTCGACTGCTCCTGCGGATATTTCCGTTGAGCCTACGAACAATTCAAATGAAGAATATTGTCTCTCTTCCCACATTTTGATTCATTTTAAACTACTTCCTCTGTAGCGGAGTGCAATACATACCTTATAACAGTTTGTCAACATTCTATATGGCACGGATATCACACAAACACATATGTTTCACTAACTTTTATCTACTAATTAGCTTTGCTTAGCAAAATCAAGTAAGTTGCAACAAGTGGCCACAAAAGCTTCGTGTAAAGTAAAGCTGAAGAGATTAGCATCTGTAGATATCTTTAATCTTTTTCATATAAGGATTTTCAAAAAAAAAAACAGAGAACAATGAGTCATCCCGGGATTTCATGCTATTGCCGCCTCCATGTAATCATATTTACCATTCGAGTAATTGGCAGCATTTCAAAGTCTCATCATTGGAAAAATTCTTTTATGCAAGGCTCTTTTGCAGTGACTCTGTTTGTTGTCCTATCGAAATGTGGGGCAGAAACTTTTCATGTTTTTAAATAGAACCCGGCGGTGAGTTGATGCTACTCGATGACGTATGAATTTTGCTCGATGCCGCATGTATTATTTCATATTTATGCTCGAAAGATCGTATAGTTTATCGAGGTTTATAGGAGAAATTTGCCCTAAAGAATTTTTATGATATGTAAGTGATGTAAGTGGTAGTGTAGTGTATGTGAGCGTGTAATGTGTAATCTTACTACGCCAGCCAGAACCACCCAACAATTTAGTTAACTGGCATTTGAATACCTAAAATAAACAATATGTATGTTTACAAAACAAATCATATAATTATTGATTATTAATTAATATCAATTAAGTTAAATATATCTTATTTAATTAACATTAACGTAAAACTCACCCAAATTGGAACATCGCCGAATGTACATTCGTGTTTACACAAAAAAAAAAACTATATATTATAGATTAAATATTACAATATTATAAATTTCTTTTTTTTTATTCTAAAAATACTAAACAATTAAAAGCTGCAGAAACGATGTGGACGGTTTTGCTGATAGACTTATTGATGTCGATGTTTTATCCCATGAGTTTGAGTTTGCATGGATTTTTATTATAAGTTCTGCTGTGTAGATCCACGCAGTTGTACGGGATTTTGTAATATCCAATAGGCCCCTTCACATTGGTTTGCAACGGTTCCGTAATGTTTTTAACAAATTTTTCAATCGTTTTTTTATTTCTTTTATGAACAAAGGTTACAATTGCTTTTCATTTCATTTATTAAAAAATTTTACAATTGTTTTTCACTTCTTTTATTAACAATTGATAAGAATTAATTTTAAAATTTTACTTTTTAATTTTAAAAATTTACTATCAGAAATTTAAAAGGTTTTTTTTTTTTTTTTTAGAAAAAAAAAAATTGTCCACGTCAAAATTTTCTTTCCTTCCCAAATTCTAATGACTAATCACTTCAAACTCAAAATGAGAACTCCCCCATTGACAAAAAAAAAAAAAAAATCACTCGCCTACTCATTTTCCTACACCATCACCTATATACAATACTATACAATCATTCTATATCTAAATTGATGGATTATTGATGGACAAACAAGATATTGATGGACAAATAAGGATGACTTAGCTAATACTCCTCTAAAACGATTATCTCTTTCCTAGAAAACGAGCAAAATTCAACACTAAATATCCGGGTCATATATCCTTGAAATTTAAAGACACATATTATTAATTAATTGGCAGAGCGAGTTGTGTGTCACTAATACAGAACACAACATGCGAGTTAATGAAGTTTGTTGTTTTTTTTTTTTTTGTTTTTGTTTTATTAAAAAAAAAATAATAATAATGAAGGTAACTGATATTAGCACTTATACTAGGCGAATATATCTACCGTCAACTTTTATATATATATGTAAGCATTTAAGAATTAGTGAGCCTATGATATATGGCAAACGTATTGAATTTAATTTATTTAAACAGCATTCTTCTAGCATTTACAAATAAATTAAAATACCTAAATCATAAAATGTATTTGCTTCTACTAATCAGCTAGTTTAACCGTTCATCCGTCCGTCTGTCCATCTGTTCGCCTAACTGAATGCGCCATACG